ATTCAGCCCACGGGTTTACAAATCCCACTTTCCTCTTAAAGGCTTGATTTTCTGCTGCCATTACCATAGCTTTCACATCTGGCTTCTTCACTGGCTGCTTTAACAATGGTGATGAGGATCCTGAACTTGAAGACCCAACCGATCTGAAATTGGAACCCAACTTATTTTTAAAGCTATACTGTGCTTGCGGCCTTTGCAGAATGTACTTCTCTACTCTTTTCTCCATCTCCAACACATCAATATAAGCATAAAACTTTTGAAACATCATGGCTTATTGGTAAGACTCACGACTACCATCAACTAACTTCACAGTCAATTCTCTCACGGTGGGCTTGCTTTTGAGGACATTCATCACTTTTATCCATCTTTCATAGTATTCTTGGAATGATTCTCCGGGCTTTTGCTTTACGGCTTCTAAATCTTGTAGAGTGGTCTGAAATTGGACACTATTGTATTCATAGTTCTTCACAAAAGCTTCAGTCAAAGAGTCAAGATCCCCTTTTATCACCTCGTTTTGTTGATTGTACCAGCAAATTACTTCACCAGACAAAGTGGTTGGAAACAGAACGGCAATTTGCTTCTATGATAGATCCATCAAAGTTAACACTGTCACAATCTGATTAACATGAGCTAGTGCATCTCCCTTTCCATCATAAGTAGGGAAATGAGGCATTGAGAAACCAGGTGAAAATTTCTCTAGCTTCTCCCTTGTGAGGTCTTTTGACTTTGTGTAGCTTAACTCCTTTACGTTCAGCATGTCCATCATCTTTTTCATTTGATCTTAATGACGTTGCTCTTGCTCTTTCATCTGTTGCCTAAGAGCATTCACAGCATCTGATCGCTTATCAGTGTCATTAACACGCTCATTCTCAACAGTCTTGTCTTCTCCTCTCCTTTCATTTCCGTCTTGCCCACTGCTCTTCAAGACTTTATTCACCATTCCCCCGATTAGGCCGACAAAATGGTCTGACTGAAAATAGTTTGCCATATTCTCGAACATGGCTCGATTGTTTCCAGTACTAGCATCATCTTCATCATCTTGAGTGTTTTCGACTCTAGATTTGTCGTCAGGCATTTTACTACAAAACAAGATCGTTAGTTATGGTGTGTATGCGTGGAAATGCACAATACATGAATAATGCAGCCGTATAAACTTGCTCCAATCAAAAGAAATAAACACTTAAACAAACAAGTCAGATTCCTTTTGTCAGCTCATATGAATACAATTAAGAAAACCAAGTGTTCTTCCTACCAACATCGTATGGGTGAACAGTGCTCGAGTGCCCTTTTGGTGCTTACCCTGTGAATGATTTCTAAGGCTTGTGACATGTGAATGCTGAATGCTTAATTTGCTATCATGTGAATGAAAGCTTAAAATGACGTGTGAATGTCGCTAAATGACCTAAGTATGTCGTGTCATGTGCTAATGATAAGAATGAATGACATGTGAATGTCGTGTCATGTGATAATGACTAGGCTAAATGACATGTGAATGTCATGTCATGTAATAATGACTAGGCTAAATGACATGTGAATGTCGTGTCATGTGATAATGACTAGGCTAAATGACATGTTAATGCCGTGTTATGTGATAATGACTAGGCTAAATGACATGTGAATGTCGTGTCATGTGATGATGACTAGGCTAAATGACATGTGGATGCCGTGTCATGTGATGATGACTAGGACAAATGACATGTGGATGTCGTGTCATGTGATAATGACTAGGCTAAATGACATGTGGATGTCGCGTCATGTGATGATGCTATGTGGATGATATTGCCAAAAACATTAGATATG